TGATTGTTGGGTTTTTCTCTGTATCTATGAAGCGCCTTGAGGCGACTTTTGTTGCGATTTGGCGCTATATAAATAAAACTGAATTGAATTGAATTTTAAAAAGAGGAAAACGCCACAGAAAGCAACAGAAATGAAGAAAAATAACTTCATAACTAAAGTAAGAAGTTAAATGGGAACATTTTAAAAAAAACACAGCTTACACTGTTAGGCCCACTTCGATCTTATGTCCCCTCTAAGGTGACACACTGCTGACTACATCAGACTATTACATTACATTTATTTACACAGGGGATGTGTATTTGGCCCCATACAATGTTCTCCATCGCGTATGAATGTGCTGTTTTACCTGAGCCTCCAGAGAGCTGACGGTATCAGCGTGGTCTGTCCGGACAGCCAGCAGCTCTGCTCTCGTCCCGTCCAGACTTTGCTCCAGACTAGACTTCTGCAAAGACAACAAAAAATGAATAAACTTATATTTGTGCTTCTAATTTCATTTTCTCATTAGGAAGCCTGACTATAAAGACATCTGTGGGCCCATGAAACACAACAACACCTCAGTGAGCAACTGCCAGCCATGCGCTACTGTCATAAAGTAGACTTGTTCTTCACCTCCTGCAGCAGCTCCTGTAGGTGCTCATCCTGGCTCAGGTTCCCCTGCAGTCGTCTCTCCAACGACGTTACCTTCTTCTGAAGCTCCACCAACAAGCGCTCCTTGTCCTCCACCGTCACAGCCGCCTGATGATGGAGCAACAAGCCAACGACAGGTGAAGAACATTTGGTTTAAAAGACTGAAACTGCATTTGAAACAAACTCATGTGAAACATTATAAAAGAAGATTCAATTTGTTTACACGTCAACAACAACGTAAACGTGGAACAATAACAGATTTTTGGGTGTTTTGTGAATTTAGTTCAAAATAAAATAACAAGTTTGTCGAAGCATTTTTGCAGGAACGAACAGCCTGAAGTCTTCTTGGACTCCAACCGAGCCGCTCCAGAATTTTCCCTGAGTCACGCAGCTGATCGTGCTTCAGGTCGTTGCCTTAAACACCGAGCAAAGGTTTTCCTGCAGGATGACATGTTTTTGCATCCATGTTTCCCTCCGCTCCAACTGGTGTCCCAGTTTGTGTCACATGTACACAACCCCACAGCATCATGTTGCCACTACTAGTTGTGCTGTGCGTAGAGCAGGGCGATATGACCAAAAATATTTATCACGATATACATTTGAAAATTTGTGATAACGATATAACTGACGATATAATTGACACAAAATACTTTACAACTCCTCAACTTTATTAGTGCAAAAAAACCTTCACTTAAACAAGCAGCTGTTTTTTATCTGCATTAAAGTCATATAAAAGTTTAACAGTGCAAATGCAAATTCCTCGCTGACAGTTTAACCAAAAGGCATTTCCAGTGGAAACTGGCCGACATATCCTCAGCATAACCATGTATAATATCCAC